AAGGAAGGAAGGAAGGAAGGAAGGAAGGAAGGAAGGAAGGAAGGAAGGAAGGAAGGAAGACATTTAAATAGTAGAGAGAAACAAGCAAAAAACCCAGGAAGCAAACATACACCGACCCACCACCACCCCCTCAACCAACCTAAAATATCCAAGCAATTAAGGATCAATAGAAAAAAAAATTACAGTAGTAATTTTAAGCCCTGTGTTAGCTTTCACCATGCTCTTTCTCTTCCAAAAGTCTCAAATGCACCACCTTTACTGCTTCATAATGTTGGTAATTATGTATTGTTGTGTTTGCATACAGAATATGTCCAGCATGAAGGGATTTGTTGACAAGAAACCCACATTCAAGTGACTATAATTCCTTGAAAAGCAGGCTTATCAGACATCAGGAGGAACAGAAGCAGGATGTGTACCAGCTGCTTGGGGCTTAATGTGACCCCAAAAGGAGTCTGTTCAGAGAAAGTAAATTTACTTCATTGTCTTAGGTTATAATGTCAAATATAACCAAACAGTATGTATTCTATTACAATCTGTGTCAGCTGTTAAGACAAATGGGGCAGTGTTCTTTATTCTCTCCAGGACTCATCCCTGATAACTCCCTCCAGGGGGCTATCTATGGGCCATCATGGCTTCACTGCATCACTCACAAAATTACATCATCCTGTTGTGAGATGCTCTGCCCAAGGGGGAGAATCAAGAATTCCTACTTGGATACAGTCTGAGGTTTTGGAGCACCAGAGTAGCTTTACTAACTGGAATTTTAGAGGACAAGAGCTGCATAACCACCACTGGAACTTCAGAGGAAGACCAGACCCTTCTATGGGATTGGTTCTTGAACAGAACCACAGCTATCACTTCAGCAGGACTGCAGCCACCATTTAACTGGACTGCTGCCACCACCCTGACCAACAGGGTGTCAAGTAGTATCCTGACTCTGTCTGTTTAAGCCAGTGTTTTCTGCCTTTATTCTAATTTTCCCACTAAACTATAACTGCCTTGGAAACTCCTACTGGTTGGTTTTCAAACTAGTACATGGTACCGACCGGCTGGGGTTCAAAGGGATGCGAAAAACATTCTGTTCAGAGAAAGTAAATTTACTTTGGAGAAAGTAAATTAAAGAAAAAAAAAGGAAATTAATTAAGTAGTGTTGTATTTGCCTAGAGAAGCTGTGCAGCATGAAGGGAGATGCTGGCTCTGAAGCCACATCCAAGTGACTAGAATTGCTTGAAAACTTACCATCACGTGGAGAAGCAGGAGCAGGTAGAGGAGCTGAAACAGCTGCTTCAGGTTCGAAGTGAACACACAAAGATTCTGTTCAGAGAAAGTAAATTTCAGAAAGCAAAGAAATCCACAGAACTGAAGTGGCTATGATTGCAATGAAAGGCTATTACAAAAATGTTAATGATTTATGACAGAAAGAAAGGTAAAAGACTTCATCAAAAAAAAAGAAAAAAAAAAAGAAATTGGGGTACTGGTTGATAGGCGACTGAACATGAGCCAGCCTGGTGGCCACGAAGGCTAATGGCATCCTGGCCTGTAACAGGAATAGCGTGGCCAGCAGGAGCAGGGAGGTCACTCTTCCCCTGGACTGGGCACTGGTGAGGCCACACCTTTGAGTGCTGTGTCCAGTTCTGTCCCCTCAGTTCAGGAAGGACATTGAGACACTTGAGCACATCCAGAGGAGGCAACGAGGCTGGGGAGGGGCTTGGAACACAAACCCTGTGAGGAACGGCTGAGGGAGCTGGGGTTGTTCAGCCTCTAGAAAAGGAGACTCAGGGGTGACCTCATCACTGTCTACAGCTCCCTGAAAGGTGGCTGCAGTCAGGTGGGGTTGGTCTCTTTCTCCAGGCAGCAACTGACAGAACCAGAGGACACAGTCTTAAGTTGCACCAAGGGAAATATAGAATGGATATTAGGAAAAGGTTTTTTATGGATGTGTTTCAAAAAAGACTGCGTGTGGCACTCTGTGACATGGTTTAGTTGAGGTGTTAGGGCATGGGTTGGACTTGATGATCTTGAAGGTCTCTTCCAACCCTGTGATTCTGTGGTATGCTGGCTAGGAACCCACGTCCAAGTGACTAGAATTGCTTGAAAAGCAGACTTACCATCAGGAGCAGGACCACGAGGTGACGTGGTTACTTCGGGTACAAATGAAAGCCAAAAGGATTCTGTCAGAGAAAGTAAATAAGCTTCAGAGGAAGTAAATGTTTAAAACTATGAAATTGCACAGAACTGAAATAGTTATGGTAGGAAGGGAAGGCTGTGTTGGCTCCAGACACCAACAGAGGTTCTTTAGGGTGGCACACCAGAGGGTAAGTCGGCTCCAGACGCTGAGTTGGTTCTGTTGCACATTGCCTCGATGCTGAGGTCACTTTCAGGTAGCGCTTGCCGGAAATCTTGGCTTTGACTCTGGTCAAGCTGACTTTCTGACGCGTATCTAAAACGTTGATGTCTAGGTCCTCTCCCTCGTGCTGGAATAAAAAGAATAAAAAAACTAATCAAGAGAGAATCTACATCTCCTGTTAAATACCTCTCACAAAGGTATGTATGTGAAATACTTATGACTGTATGACTCTTGTCTGAAGTGCTTGTTTGAAACACAGGGCACCTGATTACAGATATTCTTCTTTAATAGGCAGAGGACATTACAACAAGTATCCTACCCTCGGAAATGGTGGAAAACAACAGCATTTTATTTGAAGTGCTACAAATACTTATTGACATCTTTTAACCCTCATCATAATTTCAAGGCTGTGTTTTTAAATCAAGTAAACAAATTTATTCTATAGTCTCCCTTTCACTGATATTAGGGAACACATGCCCTGTTAGCCACAGAAGGGAGTCCTTTACATTTGGAAATATTTCAGCATCAATTGAAATCAACACTTCATACTCTTCAAATATTAGTCAGGCATGTTGTTATAGGCAACATTTAAATTAAATTTCTGTAATATTCAAATATGTTACAATAGTCTGACAAGTCCAAAGTTCACATATCTAGCATGCTGAGTACCAAACAATTGTTGCATAGAAAAGGCACATTCTTTACCAAATAGCAAGTGTGAGGTTGAACTACTGTGTTTCTGAACACTTGTCCTAAGTTACATAATGTGATTTATAAGTTTCATACTGTTATTATTTTAAACTGTGTGATTTAGACTATTTGGTTACCAGTACTACTTGTGTAAGTAAAGCCACGTGATAAGGAGAGCATTAGCACCAGGATAGCTGCATTCCTTGGCTATGCAGTCATGTTGGCAAGTGACACTCAGTTGATTAAAACCAGGTAAGATTTTTATAACTTGTGTGTTCTCCAAACGAGTGAAAGTGCCGATTTCTTATTATCTTTAAAAAAAATCTGGCAGTATAAGTGCACTTGCAAGTTTCAGAGTCTCCTTCCATCCTTGTAAGGTTACAAACTCCAGGAGTGCTCCAGTCTTTTCAGTGAACATCAAAGGTTCACAAAAACATCTCCTGTACTAGATTTAAAGAGTATGATACTAATATAGGTAATAAAAAATGCATCTCCCCAGCTTTTAAGTATGAGAAATCTCTCTCTGTTTGAGAAGGATTAAGAAAATTTGAGTTTATGAATGCAGAACTAGTAGGGGAAAAAAATGTCCCTTTCCAAATACTACTGTCATAACACACATTGTTTGTATAAAAAGAAAACCAAAGAAGACATGAAGAGGCCAGATAAGAACAATGAAAAGCTAGAAATACATGAAAAGAGAAAAGAAAAAAGCAGTATGATGAGAACTTCTGGGGGGAAAAGAAGTTTCTGGAAAGAGTGTAAACAAATAAGCAGGACCAGATTTTGTCTTCCCCCCTGAAATGAAAAAGGAAGAAGCAGTGCTGGACATAGTGACAAGCAGGATGTAGAGAGGGTCACTTTAATTATAATTCTGTACACAATGAAGGAAGGAGTAACAGAAGATAAGGAGCGAGAGAAACAAGAGGAATTTATAGCTTTAGTAGGTTACATTTAATTCATATGAGACAGCAAGGGTTTTGTAAACTAATTTGAGCTTACAAAAGCAGATGACATGGGAAAATAAGAGGGTTCAAAAAAATGCAGTAGCCATAAAACCTTGTGCAATCTCTGCTTGTTTTAATGACTTGGGACTGATGTAGCCTCTGGTCCATAATTTTTTTTTTTTAAACTTACCTTGCAGTTCCATCAGCTTGGCTTTTGCATCACATAGCTCGTCCTCGGCAGAATACATCTGCACATGAGCATCTTTTCTGGCAAAGGACATTTCACTCTCCAGAACTCGAAGAAGTGCCTCTCCTCTCTGGAGTTCCAACCTTAATTTCATTATTTCTTTTTCATAGCGAGACATCTAGAAAATAAGTATTTCAGAAATTGCATTCACAGCTGCCATCTTATCACATCTGAATTTGAAGTACAGTCTTGAAACTTCACATTTTAGATACTTTTTTTAAAATGCAAACTGATCCTGTTCTTATATCACTTTCATGTAACTTAAACACACCCCTCTGTTTTTCCAAAGGTACTTCTGCCTGAAGACAATAAAAGTCATAATTATATTCCACAGGCAATTTTCTGATAACTGTATTTAACAAGTAGAACAACAGTCATGTTGGGATACTAGATTATCAGACACCTAGTAACTCATGTAAACACAAACTTCAGTCCAATGATGTCCAGCAGAATACTATTAAACACAACAAACAAAACAAAGAAAATACTTCAAAAAAGGTTCTTATCTAGTATAAGAAAGATAGTCTAGTCACTGCTGCCAGAAATTACCACATTCAAGCCATTTGAATGCAAGAAGGTGGAAGGTAAAACATGAATTTCTTCAGAATATCTACAAAGCAACCACATCCTTATTAACAGGAGCTCCATTCATGGGAAATAATTTAACTCCATTTAAAACGTTTTCCCTGATGCTCTTGTGGCAAACTGGTATCTAAATGAAATAGCAGTGAGAGAGTATTTAATTAAAATTTTCTTTAGTTTGAATTATTATTGCTGTAAGTAACAATTCTGTTTTAGATTAAAACAGCCAATAAACCAAGCCTGTTGTTCCATATCCATTTTTTTTAGAGAGTCCTGCTTCCTACACAGTGATTTGCTCTTGTTGTGCTCCCATTGCTCCATCAATGGTGGGGTGATTCTCTGAAATGGATCCCTGGAATTACCAGGATTAAAACATTCAAACAAACAAACCGTGCCTTACATTGAGAATTCCAAAGCTGGGGGTGCAAAATACTCTTCTGCATGACTGCTGTTGTGTAGTGCTCAGGTTTCTTACACACACTTTCAACTATTAGCAATGACACTGAAAGTGATATCAGTTCCTATGGACAGGCATGAGAGGTCTGTACAGGGCTACTTCTTCGTATTTTCCAACTAGTGACTGTGATTTTGATTCACTTGATGAGAGGATTATTTCAAGGAAACAAACTGCATTTAAGGAAACAAATTACATTTCTTTCAAGGGTAAAATATAGCAAGCAAGCAAGAAAGCAAACAAACAAACTCCTTACATCATGATTGTGTTGATTGGTTAATTCCAAGTTTTTTTCCTCAAGCTTCTGTAGTTTCTTTCTCAAATCTTCAATGGTGTCCATTTCTGATGGATTTCTGTCCTGAGGTAACAGCGGTCCTTGTATATCACTGCCTGAGCTGAAAAGTGTGTTTTCAAAACACATGAGTATTCCCTTAAAGTTTCAATGCTTCTTTACTTCAATTACCCAAGCATGGGCCCAGAGTTTTAAACATTCACATAAGTAAAATTACTTTGTGCAGTTTTCATCTACTACTGCTCTTTGAAGAAAGGATTATATAGAATTGCTTATTTTGTACAAAATGAGACATATGGCAGCAGGAACTTAAAAGAGACATCCACTTTGGATTAACAAAGTTGATTTAAGCATAACATGTTCATTATTATTTTTCAGTGTCTTTATTTTTGATAATGAATTTCCATAATTTTTGACAATTAACTTCCAGGAGGCTTAACAACATCATTCCAATCATGTAAGTTAAAATAACTGGCAAGCTTTTTGTCTCTACAGTAAGTCTCATTTTTGAACATGAGTTACTATCTCAAAACCATCTCTGTCACGAAACAAAGGCACAGATATGGAAAAAAAATCTCTCTTTTACTTTGTCTTCAGAGATACACACATTCAAACTACAGACATGCAACTGATCACAAACACAACACAAATTAAAGGTTTAGTCCTCCAAACTACCCTGCTTTATCTTAATTTCCACTACTACTTCAGCTATATCAAAATCTAATTGGAAATTTGCAGAATCAGCCCTCAAGTACCCCAAGCAGTAATAAAAGAGTCAAAACCAAGATTCTGTATATGAAGTGAAAAATTTAAGCATAGAATATACAAATTTATATATACACACACATATAAATATGTACACATACAGATATATATACACACACACACAAGTATGTATATTAAAAATATATTTATTAACTAGTTAAATAACTTTAAGTGAAATTATTATAATTTTAAAATGGACAACTTTTAAGTTATTTCAGTACTTGAAAATCAGTGTTCACATTATTTGATATATGCTGGTTTTCAGATTATTTTAAGCATGTAAAAAAGACTGCAAAGACTATTTTCTCCACACAAAACTGCAAGAGTTTATGGGCAATAAATGTGAAATACACCGATAAAAGAAATATGATTAAATTAAGCAGTAAATTGGTATCTTATAATACAGAAATGTATATACTAAGGTATCCTACCTTTGTCTACATTACGTATTTTTTACAGAAATGACATTGTACTGACATTTAATTAATAAATCTTTCTACATTTGTGTATAGGCACAATAAACATTTTTCATGACCAAAAATTTACCTAATGACATATGTTTTCTCACTTTTTTTTTTTTGACTGGCAAAAAAGACACAAATGCCATCAAGGAGGGGATTGGTAACTTAGATGAAATCTTGCCTTTAAAGACATTACTACTATTAATGGATAAAATTTCAGGTTTTGAGCTGTAGACTATAAATATTTAAATATTAAAATTATATGACACCACAAGAATTACGGATGCTATGGAAATGAAAAATGTGTATTAGAGCATTAAAACAGAGAACATTATACTATGTACTGGAAAAAAAAAGCATCAGACACCTTTTTGAAATAGCATTTTACGAACAGCTTCTGAACTCACAATGCAATTGGTGGAAACTTAAAAATATATATCAGAAAACCCTATTTTTTTTTTCTTAGTATAGAACCCAAGCCAACAAAAACAAACAAACAAAAAACCCCCAACCCATCCAACCAGTGACAGAACTCCTGAACTATTATAATGTTAACCACTTCATTCTGGTTGTCTACTTTAACATTTTTAAATAAAGTAGAAACTAGCCTTAAGAATTTTTGTTTCTGTGATACTTTCTTTAATTATCACAGCATGGCAAACACATGCAGTACTTTATGAAAGCTTCCTACTACCACTTGGAGATTTTTGCTTTTATCTTCATGTAACAACTAGAAGTGCTACAACCAGAAAGTTCTCAAAAGATTAAAAGAAAAATCCATACAAAAGTGTGGAAAGTTTCAAAGCATGCACAATTTAAAGTTTCACAAACTTCAGAGAATGTTTTCTACTTCCATTTTCATATATTACTAGTTCATCAACTCTTGGTTTTGAACTAAAACATGCTTTTTACCAACTACAGTTTTTATCTAAGACACCATTTTTAGCAGGACTTTAAGAATCTTGAAGAAAGCACATGAGCAGGTGAAATAGCTCTTGAGTTCTACACTGCAGAAGGTATTTTGTAGTTCAAAACCTAAATTCCCAGTGTTCACAAGTCCTATGGTTACAGTCAACACTGACCATTGCAGAAAACTGGCTTTTCACTAGCTTCAATTCCACAGCTGGCAGAAAATACAGAGTCATTTTGCAACAGAGAGAAATGTTCTTCCACTTACTACCCAGAGGTGTAATTTTGCTAAACCTCTGCAGCTGAAGGAGCAGACTGCATTCTGATTTTCTAACCAAAGTCCGTATTTGAGGAGTTTTGCTGTTCCTATGTAACTGGCAGTTTTATACAGAGTAAAGACAGACAAGTAGTTTGTGCCAAAGGTCGAACTCTTATCAAGGTATAAAACACAGGGGTCATGGTAAGACTGAAAGCCAACCTCTACCACCTCAATTAATGTGGAAAACCCCCCTGTGCCTCCTGGGCAGTATTCCNAACACAGGGGTCATGGTAAGACTGAAAGCCAACCTCTACCACCTCAATTAATGTGGAAAACCCCCCTGTGCCTCCTGGGCAGTATTCCTAGGTGCTGGAAGAAACTCTCTCTGCCTCCTGATGACTCTTTGACAGCTGGCATGTATCACACCATATCTGGGCTCTTCCTCAGCCTGAATTGCATCATTTCAGTTATCTACAAAATTAATAAGCCACAAAAGCAGGAAATAAACTACTAGACTTAAAAAACTGGACCTCACCGATTAGCTTCTCCAGAAGAAATATTGGCTGCAGAGGGTGAATTCATGATTGTCAAAATGCAGGTTTTTAAGTTTATAAACTGTGGGGAATTAAAAACATAGTTAACCATCTATACTTTTACTCGATGAGCATCAAAGATTAATCTGTTCTATATCGTAAAAGGCCATTAAGGCCTCTAGCAGAGATGTGCTTTATTTTATTTGTCAACCCACTAAAATATTAATTTTTTTAACCACTGATGAACAGTTACACAGTGTTAGTACCATGTCATTTGAGTAATTACCACAACTGCAATTTGATGTCAGCTTTAGAAAACAGAATTGTACAGCTAGTCCTCCAAGCCTGAATATTATAGATAAATAAATACATATATAGCAGAATATCCACTGTCAGAATTTTCAGAACACCAATAAAAAAATGTTACATTTGTGTACATTGAGCTACATTCTCCTAAACAGATTGCAAACTCTGCTTCTCTTCAAAACAATTCTAAGGGAGAGAAATGATAGTACTATGATTTTTAAAGTAGATCAAATAGACAAGGTTGCCTGTCTAATAGAACACTTGCTATGTTAAAGGCTGCTAAGTCTTTCACAAATTGCACAGAATTTTTGCATTAAGGTGTAGCCCTGAGAAGTAAGAAATTAGTTTTTTTCTAACACTAGTCTTTTTATTATTGCAACTTACACCAAAGTCTCATAATGAACAGAAAAAAACAAAACCAAAACCAACAAAATTGTAGTTTCATAACAGAATCAAAATATTTTTCTGTCACATCCACATCATTCTGAAGTTTGAAAACTTCTTTAAATTACGCTGAAGTCACAGAGAGGAAAAGTAAAAACTGAATCTAAATAGTGTCACCTGGGAATGCTAAAGATTTTGAATATGCAATATTCCTCTGTTAAATTAGGTATCAATAGCTTACTAGCACACAAAGGGAGAAATTCAAAAAGCATGCTAATTCACTTAGAAAAAAAAAATCCAGTGCCATGGAGCAGCTTGTGGGAGTTCCATAATTAAATGAAACAGCAGAGGAAGCCTTTGCTTGGGGAATTATGTTTGATGTGTCATTAAAAACTTCTGTCAGTTTCTTCTTACAAACTTCTGAATATATGCTGAATACTTCAGAACAGGCCAGTGATTTAGAATAGATATGAGGAAGAAATTCTCCTCATTGAGAGCGGTGGACCCTGGCACAGGTTGTCCAGAGCAGCTGTGGCTGTCTCATCCCTGGAAGTGTCCAAGATCAGGCTGGACAGGGCTTGGAGCAGCAACCTGGCATAGCGGAACGTGCTCCTGCCCACGGCAGGGGCTGGAACAAGACATTTGAAAGTCACACGACATTTGAAGGTGATGGGGAGCACTCAAGAGTAAATCTAACCGTGATCCCAACAAATCTAACCGCGCTAACTTAAAGCAGGCAAAGCCCGGAGCAAGTACCAAACGCGCAGTGAAACTGCAGCACTCACCGTACAGCCTGCCGCCGGTGCCTGGAGCTGTTGGGATGCTGCTCCTCCTCCAGCATGACGTGCTGGGATGCTCGGAGGGCAGCGGCTCCCGGCACGGCAGGAACAAAAGTGCTCGGACCAGCTGGGACTGACACCCAGCTAGAGCCGAGAACTCCACGGTTGCCACGGACGCGCAAGGTGATGCCACAATGCTCCGAACGCAGCGCGGGGCTCTGCCGGGGCTGCCGCTGCTCTCTCCGGCCTCCCGGACATGTTCTAGGGCTTCAGGGCTCCCGACGGGAAAATAAAATTGCAGGACATTGAAAGGACCGACTGACACGAACAGACTGAGATGCTCGAGTCCTCAGGGCAGCGCACACTTCGGCCGGAGAGAGGAACAAATAGCTCCAAAGTTGTGAATGTCTGTGCACAGAATTCACAGCAGGGCGCTCTCTGGAACAAAGGAGCGCATTTCCCTCGAGGAGGAGGGAGTCAGGGTTAGGGAAAGGCTCTCGTGAAACCTCTTGAACCGAGATATTTCGAGCCCCCGGTGTGTGAGCGTCTATGTCAAAAAACAACTGAATAAAACCCCACCCTACAGTACCCTGGAAAAGCACTTTCTTCTTCTCTGAACACCGCTGTACTTTCTGTAGCTCTGTTTTTAAAGTTCCTGTTAAATCCTCTCTGTCTGCACACTTAGCGTGCAGATGATTTAACTCTTTGTTGACACCCGCCGCGATACCCTGAGCTGCTCTCAGGTTTTGTCTTACAGCACACATCCATCAGGGTACTTGGGATATATCCTTAAGACTGAAGGTTTTAATTGCAAGAGATAAAAACTCCATAACATTTCACACTATCTGGGATAAGTCTCAAAATTTCATTTCTCATTTGTGACTTATCTCTGGAAATGGCTTTCAGCCGTGGTTTTGCTAATTCTGTGTCATGTAGTTATTTAAAATATATCATGCCAAACGAAATAAGGGGGGATGGAGGGTATGTTGTGCGTTGTTTTATTTTTTCATTATTATTTCCAAGAGATTTTAATGCATAAAGCTGTGATTTTAAAACAAATAATAAAGTAGAGAGTAAGACAACAACTGACTCCATGGACAAATCACAGAAAAGTGAGGTTTATGTTTGGATATCTGAAATAAAGATTGAGTTATAAAATGCAGACTTTCTCACTGTTGTCTTCTTTTTCCTTCTGTGAGGAGCAGTTGTCAGGTCTAGTCCATGGCCAGATGTTCTCTATGTGGCTTCTTTTAGAGTTTCATATAAGACTTGGCTTTGAACTGCTTCTTCACTGGGGTGCAATTCTAGATTTTTGTTTTGACTCCTGTAGCTGTTGCTCCTGTTTATTCAAAAGTGATTGTGCCTGATGCTTCCAATGTATGCATTATTTAATCCTCCTACACTGTCAAACCTCTCATGGGTGATGAATTTTTGCTGAACCATGTTTAATTGCTCTCACAGGCTCTGGGCTTTGTCAGTTTCTTTTTTTCACCTTACTGAAATTCCATTTGAATTCTGCAAGTTGTAGGTGCAGTGAGTGGTGTTCCATCTGTGCAGCATGAAGCCTCCCTGTAAATTCAAATATTGGCTTCTGCAAGGATGTTTTGTTTTTCATACTGCACAGTCTGTCAGGCAATCCATGCTCCAGAGGAGGAGTCTTTCTCTAGATCAGTGGTGCACGTGCTGTGGGCCAGTGGAACTGTCTCCATTATTACATTCAGCTTGTCCATAATTCCTGAAAAGAAGTTTCTGGCTGCACCTACTTGAAAGTGTTCACAAAGCCAGGACTTTGGTTTGTTAAAAACATTCTGCAGTTCAGTCATGGAACTGGTTATTGCAGCATGGAAATATTAACTAGGAAACCAGCTGAGTGCTTCAAAGCAATCAATTTCTTCCTCTTCACAAACTGGCAACTTATGCCTGCGTTTGGATTCTCCTACACACAGTCAAAATCCAGCATCTCCTTTTAAGCCCCTTGTCCAGGCCAAAAAGGAACAAGAAGACTGGGCTAAAGCTTTAAGCCTTTTAACTGCCAAAATTGCAATCACAGCTCCTCAGAACACATAAACCAGGCTTTGGTTCTTCTTTTCCTCAGCCTTGCTTCATCTTGATTGTTTTCCTTGTCAGCAGGGAGAGCATTATTTAGGCTCCTGATTTTCTGTTTCAGGGATTTGTGGATGTTGACCTGGTCCTGGAGAGAGTCTCTTTGGGAAGACAAAAGCACACAGCTGGCAGTAGAGAGGACACAGCTATATCAAGTTCCTTTTTGCCTTCTCCTATTCATTGCGTTCTCTACACCTTTTTTATTAAATTGCCTGCTAATGTTCTGGAGATTGCCCAAATTCATAAGTAAGAAGAACTAGAAGCTTATGGAAGTTTTCTACACGGAGAGAAGTGAGGAATGCCACTATTAAGCACAGGTGCAAATAAGGAAGAATAAAATGAAGAGCAACTGCACAGCCACTGTTGCATACAAAATAGGTGAGATTTTGTTTCCACAACATGACCCAGCTACTGAGGATTTGGAAGTCAGCAGATCTGTTTGTGGTAGCTCACCATTACTCTAGAGCCCAGTAATCACATGCCCTATCACACTGAGTACATCCTTCAGAAAGAAAATATGCCAGAAAAAAATCATCTTCTTCCACAGGCCACTCTGATTCTGCGGAAAAAAAATTATTTGTTTTGTTCTGAGCCAGTTAGCTGGTGGGAAGAGAAATCCTCATGAAAAGTGGTAGTTATAAATTGGACAAATTAGGACTGATCCTAGGAAGCTGAGTTTTGAAGCATTCAGCAGTTTACTCTCCATTCATCAGCACCTGAGGCATGGGCAGTGCAAAATTAGAGACAGGAGGAAAACTGGGAGAGAGGCTGGAGATTTTGGGGTTGTTACACCACGTAGAAAGTCATGGAGAGGTTTTAGCCTTAAACCTTGCTGCTGAGAGCTAAGCTGCTTCCTTAATAACCCCATTATTCTCTGCTGCTTTTGGGGATTAAACCTGTGTTGCAGCCGAGGATTTTAGAGACATTTAACCCTGACTTCAATCTCCCTGGTGCATGAGGGGAAAAGAGCTATTTTCTTTGCTAAAAAACATGCCCTACCTGCTGGCCTACTGTCATCACTGTCACAGGTGCTGGTATGGGAGAAGATGCCTTTGGGTTTGATCTCATCAGCCAGATTTTCAGCTGCAAAAAGGCATCTTAAACATAACGGACCACTGCTGAAATTCAAGATGCAATTTCTTTTAAAGATGTAAGCAAATCGTATAAGTGTTTTGTTAGAAAACAATAAATCTCTCTCTGACTTGTATATCCTGTAGGATAAAAGTATAGCTCTAAGAAACATGAGTGTTTCTAGTGTACAGTCTTCTGTTTTCTTGCCTTCCTTGCTAGGGTCCCACGCAGCTGATTTTATTTTGTGTTTAACCAGATGCGCTTTCATCCCTTTCCTTACTCTTGTAGTTATGCTCTGAGCATCTCTGGGGAATAAGAGGCTCCACTTTGCTCTCCAAAATATTCCACCTGGTCCTGCACATCTGCGGGTGAGCCTGCCTGGGGGTGATATCTGAACTCCATCCATGTCCATCAGGAGCTCAGTGCACCAAAAGCCAGTCTCCAGCTGTGCCTGAATCAGGTCCCTAAGGACCAGCTCTACTGATTCCAAAGGGCTGGGATAAAGGGCTCAAAGCCTATCGACAAGGCCTGGGACCACCACAGAGTTCCCTCAGAGCAAATCTGCCTGCAGCTGCCAGGACTGAGCCTTGCAGGTGACACAGGGACTGAGATCACCTGGAGTAGAGCCCAGGGAAACACTGCAGCTGCAATCTTCTTCTGCAGCAAGAGGACAACTTCTGCCTCTCCTCAGCTGACATTGGCGTGACATCAGCACTGCTGCCCTCTACCTGAGCAGAAAAATAATGAAAAAACTTTCCTGAACAAATGATCCCTTGCAAACATGGGTAAAAATCATTCTGATGACTCACTTGGTCTCCAGGCCTCTAAATATACTCTAAATATACTGCACAAACAACTCCATGGACATGCTTTCTGGTGGCCTTTTCACTATTGCTTTGTAACACTGAGTAATGCAGCATGGGTGCCATTGGATCTTCCTTAAATGTCCAAGCTAGAGTCACTGATGGACAAACCTGCACATCTGGCAGGGCTGTTTGTGAGCTCCTCCTGCTCTGTCATGAACGGGAAAACGTTTGTCATCTTGGCTGTAATTATGCACATAAAGTAAATGCCTGCAAGATTTAACTCCAACTTCCTCCAAATTAATTGAAACAAACATCTGTCATGGGAAAAAAAATCAATTTCTATTAAACTACATCACAAAATTGTTTTTTCAAGAAAATCCTTCACTTCTATACTGTATGCTAGAACATACCCCTTGTTTGATCCTTTTTTCCTGTGTTTGATGGCTATTTGCTAGTAAAGTGAGTGATATCCAGTTATACAAGATAGATGGTTCATTTTCTATTCCATGTTTTGAGGAAATTCAGCAGGCATAGCTCTCCATTAAGGTTCTTAGAAATGTACTGCAATGTTAAAAACTAAGTGAGGTTAATGTTCAAGCTGCCAGGAACAATCAACCTTTGCTTGTGTGTGCATCTACAAGAAAGCCACTAGAAAATGTATTAAAACTTTTGAAATCTTTCTTTCCAGAAACACGCTAAAAAAAAAAAAAAAGGCACATTTTGAAAAAGTTTCTAGTCTGTAGCTAAGCCTAGCATCCATATGCCAAATTTCCTAGGGCTTGCCACAGATAGTAGCAGGCAAGTGGCAGGAAATTCTTTGGAATAAATAAGAAATTTAGTCAATCACTCAGCCTGGGGTAGAGTTGCTAAGGCCAGGAGTAAGCTCCTTTACAGAACTTCACAGAATTATTGTTCTGCCTTTGTATCTGCATATAAACTGCATTCAGATAGTCTCAGAAAGTGCATCAGGTCTAAACACTGCTACATGCACCAAAATAACAACCTGAGGTCCAGATAACCTACTGTTCTACAGGGGTTCAGGCAATAGTGAAGATAGAGATGAGAAATTTGTATATTATTTATATCCTTTGTAAAGAGGAGTTCCATGAGGACGGCACAAAGCAGTCTTTTTTAGTGAAAGTTAATTAGTACTTACTAACAAGATACCTACACTCTTTTAAAACAATCCAAGTACTGACTCCATATAAGTTGGATTTAAAATTAAAATACAATTTCTTGTCAACCCACCTGAAGACAAAATGAAATGGTACAACTAATAAAATACACACTCCTATTATTTTTGAGACGAAACAATGAAATTTCAATTCATGCAGTGTCGAGTCATACCAAAATCATCTAGCAGCAGACTTTTCTAATTTACCTTTCTAAACTGAGAAGTCAAATAAAGGAACAAACAAACAACAAAATATCAACAGCACCACAAAGATTTTAGGCATCTTACATCCTTCCACTAGGTAAATAAAACAATTCACAATGCACGGAAAATAAAACTGCAGTGATTGAAATGCTCCAGCTGGAGATCATGAAGGCTGTAGGTCTCTCTCTTTCTTCCAAGGTATTCCAAGTACCTGTATTTTTCACTTAAAGACTGAGGCATTCACAATCACTTCAGAAGTCAGAACGATATGTCCTGAGTATCACTATCAGGCAGGCATATTTTATAACAGGAAAAAGTAGTATGTCCAATTGTATTTGAATTTTTCAGGCTCTGAATATTGTGTTAACACAATGAATTTACTACATATGCTATAGCTATGTAAAAGCTGTAGACACCTAAGAGAATCACCATCACACTTGTCATCACATGATGAGTCCAACTATAACACACTTCAAAAAGCATTCTACCTGATAAAAATATTAAATATCGTTATTCATACATGCTGTATAATAACCAAATATAGTCAGAAATTGGTTCTTGTAAGTCTAATATACACATATTACAAACAAAAAGGCTAATATCATTGCCAGTCTGATATCAGATGTACAAATTCTTTTAAAAATATTTTGACCTTGCTTTTGCACATTCAGAAAATGTTTTGAAACAAAGCCTATTTTTCAAATTCCAGGATGTAAAACAAGTTCTTAACAAATACCATTTTAAGGCCTTCCTAGGTCTGTACAAGGCCACACAAGAGAAAGAACTGAGCCAAGGTTGCTGCCAGACTCCCCAGACACAAATTTCCCCAATTTTGGGTTAAATGAGGAGACAGGGTTGTGTGCCATCCAAAGAAGGTGCTGAGACCTCCAAACAGCTGTTACAGAGCTCTGTATCTCCAAGAGAGGTTCAGCATGAGGATCTGCTGGGGTCTGTCCCAAGCAGCAAAGTCTTCCACTTCCCTCAGGGTTTTAAACCTTGTGTTTATTTAGTGTGTAGGAAAACGCACTGATGCTTGCACTGTACATTTTCCACGTGATCCTTAGTCAGACCCACATTAAGGCTGGCCATTTAGACATCTGAAATTCCATGATCCTGTCATCTGCATCTACAGAACTCCAACTGGCTTCAGTGAGAGCTGCACATGCATCACTGATGAGTAACTTGAGTTCCTGCAGCTCAGCCTCCACCAGTCACCATCAGAGGGGAGTCACACCAGCACAGTGATGGCTGCATGGAATTTCCAAGCCAAGAAAGAAAAGAAAAGCTGAACTTACGGACACACATTTCCCTGCTCTCATAGAATCCAGGGCAGCACTGCGATTTGCGCCTGTACATCGTTTTCTCACCATGTCTGTAGGCAGTACGGTAACTGATCCTAAAGAGAGGAAGGAGTGTTTGTCACATACCTTGGTTCACACACAAGAGAGGACATAAATTTTTAAAAACCATTCAGGTGTCATAGAAACAAGGAAAAAATGCTTCAAGTGGTCTTGATTTATCTGCTGCCAAATTCAAGAGTCCAAGGGGATTCCTGGCATGCCTTAGGTTCATGGGTGATCAGAAAGCGGGAAAAGAATGGGGACTTTTTCACTTGTGATGGTTCATACTTATGGGCATATTCCTCTGAGGAAAATGCTCTTTACAGATGTCACCAGTTTTTAATCATTCAACTCTTGCTTGCTTTCTGCTTGCACAGGAAGTTTCTTTAACAAATCTTTTTACTTTTCTTTCCACAAGCACACACTTACTTGCCTCAGAACACAACATTGCAAGCAGCAAGGGGTCCCTGTGATATCTCTGAACAAACACACCTTCTAAGGTCTGGAGAATTTAGTTTTCCCCATGTTTGTTTTCTGTTAGCACTCCGTGGGATGGTTCACCCCAACCTGCTAATAAAATGTACGTGACAGTGTTTAGACAGGCATCTTCCAGTTGATCAAAGTTAGATAAGCTGGATTACACCTAAAAAATCCTACATATCATGCTTGATTGTGAATCAAGAATCTTAACAATATCAGCAAATTGACAATATTAGGATTTATGCATCACCTGTGTCGTGTGCACTTGAACCAGTTCAGGATGTCAGTACAACTGGTGTAGTAGATCTGATCAAAAGGATGTGGATATGACTCTTGCACTATGACTAACTGGGGAGAGAGAGAGAGAAAAAAGGGAGATCATCAGGCAAGTCCTTTTAGTACAGTCTCATTTAATTACGTCTTTTATAGAGTCCTGTTACAGAATGGAATAAATATATATCAAAATACTCATGTCTAAAAAAGTGAGACAGAAAACTTGCAAATAAAAAGAAGCATGCAGAGACTCATCATGTTTTTACTGTGCAACATATTTGATGACATTTCACTACTCAACATTTAAAGATAAGAAATGTTAGTCTAAATTTTTAAAAACCAGAACACCTGTATCTCAAATAGGCAGCAAAACGTGTATGTGTTCTCCTGTGTAAACTTTTATTAATGCAACTGGGTAACTGGACAACTAGTTAAGGATCCAGAAAATGAGGTTTCTTCTGCTACCACTCAAAATAGGAAAATAGAACTTTCTGAGAAATTTCTTGTAAAAACTGTATCTGGGCCTATAGCAAGACATCCAGTGCATTTAGACTAAGTGAGTGTTAACACAGAAATACACCTGAGAAGTAATTACAGAAAAATTGTATTACAGACATACCACCAAACAATCCATTCAGCAATCAGAAAGTAACGAATACTGAAGAACATACTTTCTTTTGCTTACTGGATAATTTTTAACTGAGAACCACCCACACCACATCCCCAGAAATACTATACTAAATCCTACCATTATTTTTTGCCAAATTACACAATTGTACAGTGTCCTAGAAACAAATCCACACTGAGAGCTTCCAAAGCTGTCAGTAGGGCAAGAGGAGCAGAGCCCTGTCGCACAAGGGGAAAATATTGAATCATCCTAGAAAACTCTTTGAGAGGCTGCTTGTGCTGGCAGCCAGCCATGGATTGCACAAGGGAGCTTGAAAGTAGAGGAATGCGTGGCAAGCTCCTGCTGCAGGACTGATTCCCAGGACTGCCCAGCTCCCCCTCACTTCCACTCACACCCTCTGACCCCTGAGCCCCCACTGCTGGGTGACAGCCACAGTGGCCTCATCCTGCTGTCACCATCTACCAGGGGAAGCACATCCAGAGCCACTCACCCCTAAATGCACACACCCTACTCCCTGTTTTCCTGCATGAAGGCAAGCAGCCCTAATCCACCCAGCTGTCCCAGCCCAACAAAATATCAGTGGGATGCTGGCGCTTGCCTGAAGCTCTGTGCTCTTACTCTGAGGCAGGGCACGCTCTACCCCTTCTTGCAGTTCATTTGTAAAGATCATTTTAGTACTGATTGAAACTTATTTTTCCTTTAAAGCATACAACACTGATAGTGGCAGACAAGAGCTTTTGTCTGGGGCTTTGCCCTTTCATACTTCTGTCCCTTCATCACCTGCTTTGGGCAGCAGCACAAATGTTTCACTAAGTTTATTTGGAGCTCTGCCCCGTTCCTGAGACACAGGACAAGAAGGAAAAAAGCAACAAAGTGGGCATGCTTGCTAGATGCATTTTTCGGTATATTTTTCCTCCTGCAGATTTTGATTAGCT